ATTTATGCTGAAACCTATACCTTAAAACGTTTTTAAATAGGTATATTGAGATCTTCAGAAGTAGCAGGAGTGAAATCAAAGGATTTTATGATCCACCAAGAAGATTGCTGGGACAGCGACCGGGACCATATGATAGACCAATAGGAGGAAGAGGGGGTTATTATGGAGCTGGGCGTGGAAGTATGTATGACAGAATGCGACGAGGAGGTGATGGATATGATGGTGGTATGTGTATCTAATGAACACAGGTTCTGTTGTCATTTTCTTAATATTCCTGACATTTTGTCAAGAAATATAGAAATGGCAGTAATCTCAGTACCTACAAGGTTTTAAAACCTGTTCATGAAAATATGGATTTCCGTGGCCAGCTATGGGACTGGATTGATGCACATTAGCACCTAGAAAACTTACACAGAAATTAAAAGGAAGATACTGGCATATTTTGGCATGGGGATGAAATTTAATTTACATGTCTGAATTTGTCCTTTTGAGATTTTACATTTCCATAGGTGTTAAATATTTATTTCATATGCACGAAGTTGGAAATTGCAAAAATAATCAAGTGAAACTGCTTATCACAAATATGTGTTTTGTAATCAGATTATAAAGTTTATCTCTTAAAAGTATTCATGTATTTCTCCTTAAATTACACAGGTTATGGAGGTTTTGATGACTATGGTGGCTATAATAATTATGGCTATGGAAATGATGGCTTTGATGACAGAATGAGAGATGGAAGAGGTAAAATAAATATTAAAGATAATTTTATTCTGAGGTAACTTTTAGTATTTGCAAGCTCTTAGTGGTAATAAAGGTAACCTGTATAAAAAGCTGAGCATACTGCAGTGAGGTCCCATGTAGGGCTTTTTTTAATACCTTGCATAGTACATATGTATACTTTACTACGTGTTTCCATAATAGTTGATATATAATCTTTGCAAATGTTATTTTCCAGGTATGGGAGGACATGGCTATGGTGGTGCTGGTGATGCAAGTTCAGGATTTCATGGTGGTCATTTTGTACACATGAGAGGGTTGCCTTTTCGTGCAACTGAAAATGACATTGCTAATGTGAGTAATTTTAGTAATTATTAGTGGTTTTATGCTTGTCCTGGCTTCTAGATTTTGAAGCATTTTTAATGTTTTCATCTTTATAGTTTAACATTAGAATCCCTTGGACATAAAAATATATCTACCCTCCTTATATTTACTGTTACAGATATTTTTGTGTCCATTGTGTCTTGACCTACATAGGATTCAAGCAAGTAAAAAGCCCCATGAATAAAGTTCAGTTAAGAATATAGTGAAAGATTAAGTTTTAGTGGTTTGGTTTCACTTTATAGGCTAGATGGTGATTAAAAACTGAGGAGTTGAAAATAACAGGAATAGATGATGCTGCTGTTATTGATTTGAAACTGATTGGTTCTGGATTGGTTAGGTGGTCAGCAAATGTCAGCTCATGGGCTAAATCTAGTCACACTTACCAGTTTGTTTTGTCAGTAGGTGCATTAGAGACCCAGTGGTAAACAAAGCCAAAAATAACTGGCTTTTAAAAGTTTGTTCTAGATCTTACTGGGGTCCAATTGGTGTAAGTTCCAAATGCCTTTAGGGATAGCTTAAACCTGGTTAACTTGTGATTAGAGTTATATGTAGAGTTTGCAGGTTTATCAAACCCTGTTTTTCTGAATTGTGATATATACCCTATTTTTCTGTACATAGTTTCTGAGTTTCAGGGACCTGTTATAGCTCAGACAGTAATTAAAAGTGGCTAAGTTCTTTGCAATAATCTGAACAGAAAAGAAATAAGTGTTTTCTTTCATTTAGTTCTTCTCACCACTAAATCCAATAAGAGTTCATATTGATATTGGAGCTGATGGCAGAGCAACAGGAGAAGCAGATGTAGAGTTTGTAACACATGAAGATGCAGTAGCTGCCATGTCTAAAGATAAAAATAACATGCGTAAGTGGTATTCTTGGCATGCTATCATTTCCTAGATGTGAACTTACATGTAGAATAAAATTTCTCGTTTGTTTATTTATTTATTTTGAGATAGAGTCTCGCTTTGTTGCCCAGGCTAGAGTGAGTGCTGTGGCGTCAGCCTTAGCTCACAGCAACCCCAAACTCCTGGGCTCAAGCGATCCTACTGCCTCAGCCTCCCAAGTAGCTGGGACTACAGGCATGCGCCACCATGCCCAACTAATTTTTTCTATATATATTGTCCAATTAATTTCTGTTTACTGTAGAGACAGGTTCTCGGCTCTTGCTCAGGCTGGTTCCAACTCCTGACTTTGAGCAATCCGCCCTCCTTGGCCTCCCAGAGTGCTAGGATTACAGATGTTGAGCCACTGTGCCCGGCCTCATTTGTTTAAATAAATATAAGAGGTCCTGTGTTCTATAGGTTACTCTTGACAGCCATTGACCTCTATATAAAGTTCAGATTTTAATGGTTCCTTTGGGTTTTTTTCATCACACTAGGAATTGATATTTAATATTTTCATATTAGCCAATCAACCTTTTAAAGCTTTTATTGATACAATTATGAACCATTATTCCTTTCTCCTCCCCTGTTACCCTTGCTTTTTTCTTAAAGAACATCGATACATTGAACTCTTCTTGAATTCTACCCCTGGAGGCGGCTCTGGAATGGGCGGTTCGGGAATGGGAGGCTACGGCAGAGATGGAATGGGTATGTAAAGTTTTTAAGATAAGCAGAGTTAGCTACTTAGCAATCCATCTCAAACTTTTTTTTTCCCCCCAAAAGATAATCAGGGAGGTTATGGATCTGTTGGAAGAATGGGAATGGGGAACAATTACAGTGGAGGATATGGTACTCCTGATGGCTTGGGTGGTTATGGTAAGTATCTCTAGTTCGGTTTGTGTTAGTCCCCACATATAGTACAATTAAAAATGCACACATGCTTTTAACATCTCACGCATGAATGTCTTGTGCTAAGTGATTCTTAATGTGCTTTTTTCTTAAGGCCGTGGCGGTGGAGGCAGTGGAGGGTACTATGGGCAAGGCGGCATGAGTGGAGGTGGATGGCGTGGGATGTACTGAAAGCATAACCACCAACATACAAGTCCTGACAACAGCATCTGGTCTACTAGACTTTCTTACAGATTTAATTTCTTTTGTATTTTAAGAACTTTATAATGACTGAAGGAATGTGTTTTCAAAATATTATTTGGTAAAGCAACAGATTGTGACGGGGAAATCTGTTTTCTGTAGGTTTTATTTGTTGCATACTTTGACTTAAAAATAAATTTTTATATTCAAACCACTGATGTTGATACTTTTTATATACTAGTTACTCCTAAAGATGTGCTGCCTTCACAAGATTTGGGTTGGTGTATTTTATTAGCTCTGTAAGAGGTAGAATGGTGTAATTTTAGAAGATAATGGTTCACCTCTGCATAAACTGCAAGTCTTAAGTAGACATCTGGAATAGAGCTTCACAAATATAATTAGTGTAACTTTTCGTTAATTTCTCCTGGACAACACTGTAAATATAAAGCCTAAAGATGAGGTAGCTTTAGTAGTATAAATTCAGCTAATTAGTTCCATGTTATTCTTTCTCAAATGTAATTTATCAGGCTTAGTTCTGAAATGTTGATGATATGAGGTATCTGGATTTCTGAGTATTCATAATTGTATGGGGGGGATGGGAGCATTGGAAGTTCTAAATTCTAACCCTAGATTTTGGAGTAAAATCCCCTCACAACTTGACCAACCAAAGTACCAAAAATGTTTCCAGAAAATTGATAGTTGTAAGTTATCTCAAGATGTCTTAGAGTAGGTTAAGGTTCTCAGTGACATGAGAATTCAGTATAAGTACATAGGTATTTACTATGGAGTATAATTTTGACAGATGTATTTTCAGTTTCCTGCCCAATGGAGCATATGATTTTAAAATAACTGTAAATGACTACTTAAAGAAATGTAAGACAAGTCCATGTTATAGTCAATTAAAATAAGAATCTGCAGTTGGGTTTTTGCATCTGATAATCTGCTTGGGGTTTTAGTTAAAAATACTATATGTAGCAAGGAAAAGGTGCTTTTTTTAGTTTTAATCCCTTTCATCAATATGGCTTTTTCCAAATTGGCTAATGGATCAAAATGAAACCTTGTCAATGTGAATTCAGTTACTGAACTTGTTATTGTTTTTGCTAGAAATGTTATTAATGTAATAAATGTCAATGTGGGAGATAATAGTATGGTGTCTGTCCTAGAATGCTTTGTGTCGGTTACTATATCAAATTGGTAGAAAGTACTGTATATATCGTCTAATTGAAGATTTAGAAAAAGTGACTCCTAAGGAGTGATTTTTGCTGTTAGAAGAGGGAACTGTGACAGCCTGTATATTTGGAAACTGGTTTGTTTTGATACGGTCTTGCTCTGTTGCTAGAGCATAGTGGTGTCATAGCTAACTGCAAACTCCTGGGCTTGAATGATCCTTCTGCCCTGGTATCCCAAATAGCTGGGATTACAAGCGCACATCAACAAGGTCTTGCTTTGTAGCCCAGGGTGGTCTTGAAATCCTGGCCTGGAGCCTCTTGACTCAAGCAATGATTCATCTTAATATTTGAGTCACTTCCTTGAAGTAGCTACTTAAATATCAGGGCTCACAGCACCTGTCTTTTGAAAGTCACATGTGCTTTTATTTTCCCCTTAAAATCTCTAAGCAGTAAAAGTATAAAATGTTAGAAATGAAAGTTGCCCTTTTTAAGCAGGCTAGTTTTTCAAATCTTTATTCAGTTTATAAAATTCACATTTTATTTTTAAAACATTACAGGATAAAAGAATTACAATTGCAATTCCTTGGCACCATGATAGCATTATTGTGGTAGTACTGCTAGGTGAGGGAATGGTATGCAAAATCTTTTGAAAAGTAAAAGGTTTGTAATCACAAATTGTGAACATTTTGTAAAAGGAAAAACTCAAAGTATAAATGGTTTTGAGCCAAAAATAAATGAAGCAAATTGCATTCATAAAAGCTACTTTAAAAAATAAAAGCCCAAATGAATGGTGAGACATGTTTTGAATGGCAAGAAATTTAAAGGGTGACTAGAAATCATGGTTTATTTGTTCAATGAAATCATTCTTGGAATTTAAGTTACTTTAAAATTTGTTCAAGCACAGTAATAAAAAAACACCTATTTGAAAATTTTCATTTATGCTTCTCATTTTCAACAGTCATAAAAATGTTAACCTATCCCATCAATACAAAATGGTTCGTTCAAGAATATAATTCCTTCTTGAGGACATTTCTATCAGTATTCAAAAGAAAGACCATCTAAAAATATGTCAAGATCTAACTGAAGTTGACCTCAAAAGTTGAAATTTTATGGGTTCTGGAGATAATAGATCTTCAAGTAAAATAATTATTAGTTTCATGCTTTGGCAATTAGAAAATTTAATAATTTTAAATCTGAATGACAGTATATACTCATAAGGAAAGATCCTGCGGAGTAACTACATCTTGAGGGAGGGAAGTGTTCTGATAAATCACAAAAATTAATGCTCCCAAGTAGTGTAAAATTCCTATATATTTTTGATAGGCTCACAAACTTAAAGTGCATGGCTAAATAATTAAAAAGATAATGTGAGGCTGTTTATATAGAGGTAACTTAATTTTTACAGATTAGATTCTTAGTATGCTATAAACAGTATAACTGGATTAGTGTTGAGTTAGCTTGAAATACTTCAAATATATACTTCATGGTAGGACAGAGACTGTATTTTCATCTGCTCAATACCCTGGCATACAGGTGATCAGTAGACTGGTGTGATTTTACTGTGGGCATATAATGCAGTGGTAGACCACTACAATGTAATGCTTCCTAAAAGTTATTCCAATGGCAACAGAATACAAAATTTTTTGAACTACTCAACGCTGTGGTAATATAAAAGGAAAAGTTTTAACTTTTTTCTCATTTGTAATGCTTAGATAAGAGAATCTTTATAAGGATCCTATAAACCCCTGCTTTTATACATGTTTTTTTTTCAGGGGAAAGATTCCTATTTTCATTTTTGAATTAGGGGTCTTAAGCAGACAGCTGCTTAAGAAGGGCTGTTTGAGCCACCTTAAGTAACAGCAATTCAGTGAGACAGGTAGCATATGAGATCTGCAAGTAACTAACTTAAGGTAAAAGTATGATATATACATGTAACTTCCTGTCAAGATTAGAAGAAAAAATGCTGAGGCCAAATAATGCCCCTTCAATTAAATCCACTGCGTCTGAAAGGTATAGGCAAGCATAACAATAATTTTGAAAACACTAAAAGGAAATTTTTTAGGAGAAAATACTGGTCCTTTCTAATGCAAAAGAGGAAGAAGAGAAGGGACAAATAAATAAGAGTTAAATTGAAATCTTACAAGATCATGAAAAATGTTGAATTGGAATATTAATACTTCTAGAAAGTTTTATGCATTTCCAGTCTCCTTGAGACCTGTTAAGCTTTAAAGTGCATTAAGAGAATTTCAGGCACCATCAAATATCAACTTGACAGAATTTGGAAGAATAAAATAATCTGAAGCCTTATTTTTAAGAAGGCCTTTACAAAATAAGGCAAATGTGTGTGAGCTATGCTATCTGGCCTTTCAATGGAATTAAGCGTTCATGATTATTACATCAAGTAAAAATTAGGCTAACATTTTAAAAGCATGCTCTGCTAAATTCTTCTTGAATAACAATGAGGAAGGAAATATCAAATCACAACTAATTACCATGAGTTGAGTATGTGGAAAATAAACTGGTACCAATACTGACTGAAAGCTGCTTAAGAAGGGCTGTCTGGATATCTTGTATAATACATACATAACATTCATTGTAGGTACTTTGATCATAAAGATTTAGTTCTGGAGTCTTATGGCAAGTTAGATGAGCATCTCTGAATAAGCAATGCGTGACAGGAATCACAGACTCGTACTGGTTTTGGTGAGGAAGGCAAAGGCAGTTCATTGTCAGAGCAGGCATTACAAAAAATTTCCCCGCAGTTTCTACAATGGTGCTATTAAAAGAAAAAAAAAATCTATGAATAAACAAAATTGGAAGCATTTTTGCAACAAAATTTTTGGACTGACTTCCTGGTTCCCTTACCTTTCTCTTAGAGAGTGAAAATTCCTTTTCGCAAAGTTTACAATGTGTTGCTTCTTTGTCTTTTAGCCAAACCAGTCCCTAGTAGGAAGAAAAGTGAATATTAATGCTCAAATTTGTAACACTAAAAATTACATGTAAAAACTTTTTTGCCCAAGAACATTTTATAGAAATAAATATATGAAGAAGCAAAAATTAAAGTTCTTTTCCTTGAGATATACTGAAACATTTGTAGATGAACTATGTGAAATTTGCCTCAAAATATCCTGGGTTGGGAGGGGAGATGTGTATTGAGTATTGAACAAGATTGCCCATATAATGATAGTGAAACTGGGTAACAAGTTTACTCTTCCTGGATATGATCAAACATAGTTCATTTTACAAGTGTATATATTTGATCATATCCAGGATAAAATATTTTTAAGAAATAAAGATCTACTATTGATGGGAATTCTCTTTTAAGGAAAAGAACCTTCAAGATTATCTAGTCCAACAACATTTAAAGAGAAATTTTCACTACGTGAAATGTAAGATTTTGGCATTATGCATACTTTTTACACAGTAAAGCCCTAAAATCTGAAGAAAATTGGGAAATAAGATGTTTGAGTTCATTACTTTAGATAAGACCTTACTTTTTTTCTCAACAGATATAGGGTCTCAGTCTGCCACCCAGGCTCGAGTGCAGTGGCATGGTCATACCTCACTACAACCTCCAACTCCTGAGCAAAATAATGGTTTCCACAAAATAGAGGATATACTATAAGAAGGAAAGTGCCAACCGGAAGCACACATGGGGCTTCCAGGGTACTTGTCATGTTCTATTATAAGCTGAGCAGAGGGTATTCAAGTGTTTTTTTTGTTTGGTTGGGTTTTTTTTTTTTTTGAGCTGAAGGTCTGGGTGTCATTTATTGACAGCAGTTTACACATATTTGTTTTCTTCCCATGGTTGTTTCTTTCAAAGCACAAGCATAGAGCCTTCGAGAAGGCTTCATTCAGTCTCTGAATGAAGGAGCCAGGAGCTCAGAATGTCTTGGGCAGGCATGTCCAGCCCCGACAGAATGCAAATCCTTCAAGGTGGAATTCCACTGGGTGTTTGAGAGGGACCAAGGTGCGGGGTGGACAGGAAGTTTTCGACAGACTCACATCTCAGTCCAGGCCTCCTCTCTCCCTATCCAAGTCCATCCCAGTCTTGGGACCCTGGGGGGAGAGGGGGCAGCAAAATCAGCCCACCCACCTCAACAGGGGCAGTTTCTTCAATCCATGCACTGTTTGCACACACCTGCTTCCGCTGGCCAGTTACAGAGAATCAGGCTTATGGGAAGAGACAGACCACTTCCTCTCTGACATTCATTCCCCAGCACCTCTCTTCGGCTGCATCTGCGCGCAGGAGGCACTGGAAAACTGAGGCCTGCCTTCACGGTCCAGCCGTGCCTGCCACCACCTGCCACCTGTGCTCCCAGTCCGTCACACACACACACTGTCCTGCCTTTGTTCTGCCAATTGCCAGTGCCTACGCCAAAGCTCCAGCAGGCCTCAAACCCGGACCCAAAGCGAGTCTGCATAGGCACTTGGCAATTTTTGGTAGGGAAGTGGATAAAAAAGTAGGTGGGTGCAAGAAGAATGAAAGAGCTTGATTTGATAGAGTAATTAGAGATCTGAAGTGATTTTACTTTTATTTCCTTCAGGTAACCCAATCATGAGATTTCACAGTGATTTCTGGGTGGGGGCAGGAGGTGGTGTTAAGCATCATCAGGGCTGTGGCCCCGCTGGCCTGAGGAGGTACAGGCACGGTGGGTCCTCCTCACTGGGGCAGCTGCAGGAGCACGGACTGCTGCGGGCAGGTAGGTGATGTTACGAGAGCGAGACAGCTGGTATCAGCTGGTATGCAATGTCCTCCGTGGCCTCCAGCTTACATAGCTCAATCAGGCCGTCCCCCGAGGTGGCCAGAGAGTTAGTGATCAGCTCGGCTGCCTTGGAGTCCCCCTAGGCAGAGATGATGGCCGCCTTTTTCTGCTGCTCAGCCTTTTCCACCACAAATCTGGCCCTCTCTGCTTCCTGCTGAGCCACCTGTTTGGCTTCCACTGCTTCTGTGAATTCCTTCCCAAAGGTCAGATGCATCAAGGACATATCGTCCAGGATGAGCCCAAAGGTTGCTGCTCGCTCCAAGGTAAGGTCATCACTCACCTGCCTGGAGACCAGCTCTCTCTGGGTGATTAGTTCCCCTGCATCAAAGCAAGCCACCACTGACTCGAGGATCTCTGTAGTGATGGACGGCAGCAAGCGCTCGTCGTAGTCCTCTCCGATGCTGGTGAAGATGCGCAGGAGCTGGCTAGCGCCAGGCCGGAAGAGGATGCACAGCGTGATGTTGACATTCTGTAAATCTTTGCTACCAGTGATGACTGGCACGTTACGCGGTCGAGAGCGGCAGTCAAAGATAATTGGTTTCTGTACCCATGGGATGAGAAAGTGAGTCCCTTCCCCTACCACAATGTCCGGCACTCCACGGAATCGGTCAAAGATGATAGCTCTGTGCCCAGCACCCACATTATACAAAGCAGAGTTCACCACGCCTCCTGCAATGGCCAAGGCCAGGCCGAACTTGCCAATGGACTCCAACACTTTGGCAGCCACATTTCCTTCTGTTGGACCCACTCACACCTGCTTCCACTCTGACCTCCACATGAATTCCCCCGCAAGTGTTTTTTAAGTTACACTGCATGTGTATGTACTCTTACATAGCGATATATATCTAACAATGAAAATGTCAGATACAGAGTAAACTTAAAAAGTTTTTACAGAGTTTAAATAATGGTGATTTGGGCAAACATCCATGTATCCACCCATCTCCTAAAAAAGTGTGAGAACAGAATAAAGGCATATTTAATTGTGCAAATTCCTACAATTTTCATCTTCATCCACCATTTTTCAGGAAGCTACTGAAGGATGTGCTGCCCCAAACAAGGGAGTAAACCAAGAAAGAAGTTATGAGGTTGAGGCAACAGAACTCCCACATAAGAGAAGGATAAAGGGTTATTCTGAGAATACCAGCAAATGGAACTGTCAGGACAGGAGGAACCAGACTAGACATGAGCAGGAGAGTAGAGAACTCTTGAACTTGGAGGAATGACTCAGAGGAAAAAATACACTAACCTATTATTACCTGATACATTTTACCATGTTAAAAAACTTTACCAAGAAGTATTTTATAGTAGTGTTTGAAGATATGAGAAAACTCAGATGTTAAAGACAAGGACAGGCCAGGCGCGGTGGCTCACACCTGTAATCCTAGCACTCTGGGAGGCCGAGACGGGCGGATTGTTCGAGGTCAGGCATTCGAAACCAGCCTGAGCAAGAGTGAGACCTCGTCTCTACTATAAATTAAAAAAGAAATTAATTGGCCAACTATTATATATAGAAAAAAATTAGCCGGGTATGATGGCACATGCCTGTAGTCCCAGCTACTTGGGAGGCTGAGGCAGGAGGATCGCTTGAGCCCAGGAATTTGAGGTTGCTGTGAGCTAGGCTGACGCCACGGCACTCACTCTAGCCTAGGCAACAAAGTGAGACTCTATCTCAAAAAAAAAAAAAAAAAAGAACAAACAATAGATACTACATATTATTTAGAAATATAGGGATAAATGCTAGTACCGTGTCTCCCCCAAAATAAGACCTACCCATAAAATAAGCCCTACGAGGATTTGTAAGCATTTGTGCACTATAAGCCCCACCCTGAAAATAAGACCTAGTGACGGGCGTGGCCATGTAGCATATCTACACAACCCATTCATTTCATCGTGGAGCAGTAAAGAAGACGAGCAGCCCTTCTCATCTGCCCCATCATGACAGCTACTATCCCAGAGGTGATTGGAAAGGTGCAGGCAGTCCCACCAACAAGGTCGGCTCCCCCTGTCAGGTCCTGGCCATCCTGTGTGTGCTGCAAGCTTAGGCTTTGATGGGAAAGTCTCAGAGAAGTGAGGAGCAGGATGCTCTGCTTTAGGTATTGTGTGTCCCCAGGGGGAAGAAGGAAAGCTGTGGATCAGCACTGTGGGCCTCTCTCATCCCCAACAAACACTAGGGGATAGGGGAAAAGCTTCAGCAAGCAGTCTCCTACTGAGCCCAGAGAGATCATTTCTGCTCCACCGTGCAGACTGGACCCTGCACTCCAAGCAGGTTACATGGATAAGAGCTGCTCATTTAATGAGAGCTCTATTGCTCAACATAAGAGATTGGGAGCCGGGCACGGTGGCTCACGCCTGTAATCCTAGCTCTCTGGGAGGCTGAGGCAGGCGGATTGCTCGGTCAGGAGTTCGAAACCAGCCTGAGCAAGAGCGAGACCCGTCTCTACTATAAATAGAAAGAAATTAATTGGCCAACTAATATATAAGAAAAAATTAGCCGGCTGGTGGCACATGCCTGTAGTCCAGCTACTTGGGGAGGCTGAGGCAGGAGGATCGCTTGAGCCAGGAGTTTGAGGTTGCTGTGAGCTAGGCTGACGCCACGGCACTCACTCTAGCCTGGGCAAACAAGCGAGACTCTGTCTCAAAAAAAAAAAAAAAAAAAAACATAAGAGATTGGGGCCAATGGTTCTAAAGGAAATAGAGTCGCAATAAATTCAGGATGGAATTCGGGGTTTGGAGAGTTAGGATGATCTTCCAGAAGAAGACGACTTAACTATATTTGAATAAATGTAGATTGTTGTGCCATACTTTAAAAAAATAACACATCCCCTGAAAATAAGCCCTAGGGTGTCTTCTTGAAGAAAAATAAATATAAGACACTGTCTTATTTTCAGGGAAACATGGTAGCTAGTTCCTCATCAGGGGCAGACAAGAGACCACTGCCATTTTTTTGTGTGTAACTTTTTTCGGTGTTAAATCTTTTCAGCAATTTTTTTGGTGTTAAGTCTTTTTAGCAATGTTTTTTATTTTCATGTAACACTTTGATAAAAAAATGAAATAAGTTATGGGGTAGGAAGCTACCTGTCACTGAAGTGTTCACATGGACACTGTCTTTTTCTATGTTGTAGAAGGGACTCTTGCATTCAAGACACATTCACAACCACATACTGATAAACTGTACCCCACCACTTCCATATGTATTAACCTGTTCAAAATTCAAAGCAACCCTATGCAGAAATAAGCCCATTTGAGAAGAGGAAACTGAGGCCCAATGAGGACATGTGACTTGTTGAAGATCAAAAACTAGTAAGTAACAGCCTGGCATAGGAACTCAAGGATTCTTAAGTTCAAAGGCAATTTCACTCTATAAAGACCACACTTCATAGGGAAATGAACAAAATTATTTCTAAGGTCAATTTCCACCAGGAACATTATTATTTAATAATAGTGTGATTTCTAGAGGTGCCAGAAAGAGCTGAACCCCCATCATCCAAGTCCCCATTCAGTGCTTCTGCCTTCATACATCCTGGGATTCATTAACAATACCTTAGATTTATACAGGGCTTTACCTTTTATTGGAGACTTTCATATGTATTATACTTTCCTACTTAAAGAAAACATTTCCTACTCACCTGTAATGCTTTGTTGGCTTCTTTTATATCTTCTATCTTAAGTTTTGATCTAAAAAGATAGTAAGTCCAAATTTTAGTACACATAAATACAGAATACCTAGTAATTCATTAGACATTGGCTTTTCATAGGATATAAAATTATATATACTTAATAGTATATGATCCTAATGACATTCTCTGATCAGAATATTTCATATTTTCCTATATTTTCCAAATGTCCTAAAGTAAAAATCTAATTTTTTTTTTTTGAGACAGAGTCTCGCTTTCTTGCGCAGGATAGAGTGAGTGCCATGGCGTCAGCCTAGCTCACAGCAACCTCAATCTCCTGGGCTCAAGCAATCCTACTGCCTCAGCCTCCCGAGTAGCTGGGACTACAGGCTTGCGCCACCATGCCTGGCTAATTTTTTCTATATATATTAGTTGGTCAATTAATTTCTTTCTATTTATAGTAGAGACGGGGGTCTCGCTCTTGCTCAGGCTGGTTTCGAACTCCTGACCTCGAGCTATCCGCCCGCCTTGACCTCCTAGAGTGCTAGGATTACAGGCGTGAGCCACCGCGCCCGGCCTAAAAATCTAATTTTTAGATGTACAACTTATATTTCTAAGGAAATGTTAGCATGTTTACATGATGATGATAATGTTAATAGTTCTCATTTATTGTAAGTTTACTATGTGTCAGACACTATACTATAACCTTTGCATGTACTTAATCTTCACACAAACCTATTTTAACAATGAATAATGGCCTGAAGACGGTCAGTAAGAGGTCACAGAGGTGGTAACTGGAAGAGCCAGGATTCAAACCCTGGTCTGTGACCCCAAAGCCCGCATGCTAACCATTATGTACACTGTGCATCCAGCAGATATAGAAGTGCTAAGGAAGAAAATATTGCAGAAGACATAACTGTGATGCTTTTCTATTTTTTGTAAATACATGTGTTAATGAAAATGCAGATTATAAAAAGCAGTATTTCATTATATTAAATAGTGGGATCTGGTAGTGACCCCACTACCCAGAGATAATCTTCTCTGCATGTCTCTATGTGTATTTTAAATGGAATTATTATCTACATAGTTTTTCATAACCAGCTCTTTTTACTTAATATATCCTGAACAGCTTACAGCTACTGACTTGTTACTAAGTATCTGCCACATCACTATAATATGTGGCAGATACTTAGTAACTGGTGGGCTG